GCTCCAGGCAGCCAGTCGGGAGATTCTGGCATGGATACTTCATGTGTCTGCCGTGATAACGTCACCCAGAAGTGACATCATCGCATTGCCAGTGTTGGGGGGTGACTCTCTAGTCTTGGGGGGGCAAAACTCTATGGGTTCCCCCCCTCAAAACCATAGAGTTTGCCCAAAAACTAGAGTGTCACTTCCGGGTGATGTCATTGTGACAGGGATGTAGCACGGCGACATCCCTGTTCGGGGGTGGGGCTTCCCCTGCCAGCCAGCTGGGGGTCTGGCAGCCCCACCTCCCAAGCATCCATTTCCTCCAGGGGAACTGATTTCTGTAGCTTGAAGATCAGCTATAATTTGAGGGGATCCCCAAGTCCCACCTGGAGGCTGGCATCCCTAGATGGAGAAGAATAATGCAACAGGGGCTCTGGATAAGTTGTGTGATTTATGTCCACGTGGTGTTTGAGCTCAGCCTGTGTCACGTGATGGGGGCCTAGACTAGGGTTACCAGGTCCTCCCTGTGTGTTAAATTAAACACACACACACACCCCTATTTTAAAAAAAATAATATATGGCTACAGAAAGTGGTGTGGGGTGGAGTCTCCTGTTTATAATTTGGGTGACATTGGTGGTTTAAGTTGTGAACCTTAAGGGAGTTATGGGATGGTTGTGAATGGTTGTGTGAGTGTATATGAGTATGGTTGTAGATCACCGAAATGATTGCATTTTTAATTTCGTTGTACTATGTACAATGACAATAAAGTATATTATTATTATTATTATTATCCTCCCTCTATTTTATCTCCTTTGCATAGAAAGCCTTATGCAGCCGTAAGACTACAGAATCAGTAACGCAGTGTGACAGTGAGCAAAACAGGTCTTCAGTTTAACCAACCAATGTACAATGAATGACAGTCGGTGCAAATGAAAATGGCTGGAATTGAAATAGGTTGTTGATTCCCCCCCCCCCACAGAAATCTGCCGCTTGGGGGCAGGTGAAAAGATTCAAGAATGCAATTCATCCCCAGACTGTTCACACAGTTGACAAAGATCTTTTAACAGATTTCCTGCAATACATTTCAGGGCAATTAAGTTTAAACACTGAAATAACCTGGTATCATAACAGCAACGGAGGCATATCTTAAAGGTCAGTAATTGTGCAGGGTGTGTGCGTTAATTCTCTTCCTAGGCTGTATCCCTAACCAAATTTACTTGGGAGAAAGTTCCATTGAGATTAATGGGCTTTATTCCTGAATAAATAGAGTCAGGCTCTGTATCTTATCAGGTCTGTGTAAAATGTAGAAATACGTGCAGCAGGCGAGATAGTCTTCTTCCCGCTCGTCTTATTCGCCACTTTACTATAGCTGCAAATCAATCAACCAATCAAAATCTATGCCCCTCACTCCTTTCCCCCCCTTATTACGTACCACCCTAGAAATCTCCTGACTTCACATTAAAGGCACAATACCTCCCATGGCGTGTTTAATTTTAGCTTGTTTGGGTTTGGATTCCCCCTCCCCTCAAGACTTTAATTAAGGGAATGAATAATTGTCCATTTTCCCCCCATGTCAGCTGCCGCCATCTCTGAGTAAGCCTTCTGCCGCGCATGGTATGCTAATGAGTAGCACCTCTGAGATTTTATGATTGTGGGGAATTGCCCTACAGTGCGTAAGTCATTTGCTGAGCAAAGCAGGCCGGGTTCAAGCCTATGCCTGCTGGCTTCGGTTGTTGTATGCTTCTCCCCTCATGTTTCCAAGACATCACACCAGCTTGGGCCTTTGCACCTGAGGTGGTTTTTAACATGCAGCAGTGATTCCCACCAGGACCGTGGGAGAAACCAGAGCTCCTCTCGGCCTTTTCTTCTCACAGCACACCTTAGTCTTGAAGGTGTCCCTTGGCTTTTACTTATGTTATCTGTATTTCTGTTTCATTTTGCCACAACAGGCTTAACAGGGGTACCCTCCTGGATCCTATTGTGTATGTGTGTCCCAAGCAGGGGTCATTTCCTGCGGGAGTGCACAGAAGCGGAGCTCCGGCAGTAAGGAGCCCGGGGGGCGGGCACATGCAACAAGCCCCGCCCGCAGCAGCCCTCAGTTGGGCCACAAGGAGCAAGAAGCAGCTGGGTAAGTTGCAGAGCCCCCCCATCCCGCCTTCAGGTACAAGCTCTCCCTCCTCTGTGAGGGCAGATTTGCGCGCTCCCCCCCATAGCTAGCAATCCAAAACAGTCCAGTGGCACCTTTAAGACCAAGTTTTATTCAGGTACAAGCTCTCCCTCCTCTGCGAAGACAGATCTGCACATATCCCCCCCCCCCAATAGCTTGCAATCCAAAACAGTCCAGTGGAGCCTGAGTGGTGGGTGTTGTCTTCTGACACACTTCCAGTGATGTCAGGGGGTGTGGCATATGCAGATCAGTTATGCTAATGAGCTCCTGCACCTCTTTTTCTACTAAATGACCCCTGGTCCCAAGTATTTATGACCCACCGTTGTGCTTCTAAAGTGGCTCACTGTAAAACAAAATGGTTCAGAAAGAAGCTTGGGGTAAAGGGTTAGGGAGTATAGGCTATACCACTGTGTATAATATGTACTGTGGCAGCTCATTGGTTAAGGTCAGTAGTTCAGCAGTTCGAGACCTGAGTGCCACGTGATGGAGTGAGCTCCCGTCGCTGGCCCCAGCTCCTGCCAACCGAGCAGTTCGAAAGCAAGAAATTGCAAATAGATAAATAGGTACCGCTTTGGTGGGAAGGTCACAGCATTCCGTGTGCCTCGGCGTCTAGTCATGCCGGGTACATGACCACGCCTCGGCGTCTAGTCGCGCCCTGTACATGACCACGGAAATGTCTATGGACAGCGCTGGCTCTTCGGCTTGATAGCCTGTACTATCTCTTGCTGTGTAGTTTTTGCTTTTGTTATGTTAATACCTATGTGGTTGATTGTATCTGATCTATCAATCATATTGATTTGTGTGTGTGTGTAAAGGGCCATCAAGTTACTTCTGACTTATGGTGACCCTATGAATCGATCATCTCCAAACCATCCTATCGTTGACAACCTTGCTCAAGTCCTGCAAACCAGGCTGTAGCTGCTGATCCTTACCACACTAGACCTTAAATCCTGGTTCAACCCTGTCCCCGAACTTACATTCTACACTACATGCGAGTTCATCCCTGTATCTAGGGGTATTTTTTGTTTTCACATTACATTGAGGTCACCCCAGTTTCGTCCCACACTTGTCCCGGGATAAACGGATGCTGTTATAACCAGGGATAAATGCAAGGTATTGGTCCTTTCCACACTTGGATCTCATCCCTGGTTTTATTAGAGTTCAACTCGGGACACAAAACTTTGCATTTATCCCTGGTTATAACAGCATCGGTTTATCCTGGGACAAGTGTGGGGCAAAACCAGGGTAACCTCAATGTAATGTGGAAACAAAAAATACCCCGAGATAATTACAGGGGTCGAGTGTAGTGTAGAACGTAAGTTCAGGGACAAGGTTGAACTAGGATTTAAGGTCTAGTGCGGAAAGGACCAGAGATAGAAGACAACAACAAGA